TGCTAAACAAAGGCCCTCCTGCGATGTGGACATCATGACAACGATCGGAACCATGTCATGGGCCGTGGCCAATCATGGGCAATTGTCACCTTCATCCGCTTCAACAAACATGCGTTGGCTCCGTCTAGAGCAGCTCGCGGCATGCGCTCCCTTGGACGCAGCGGCCAACTCAAGTCGATTCTCCATGGCTGTGTCTGTCCATGGCCGACTAGGGTGTCGTGTCACTTGATGGCCCGCCACCACTCTTTCCTAGCACAAGGACCGCAGTGCATGGACGACAATGGCCCGCCGCTTTTGCCACACGTGGATGGGTGACCGCCACTTGTTGTTCGTGGCCACCATGTGCCAGACGTCCCACAGGTCCATGTCTACCCCGGCACCAACGTCGCTCGGTCATTGTGCGATTTGCCCGAGACCATGCAAGCCACGGGTCGCGATCAAGATTTGCAAGAGCGCGTGTCGTACATCCAGTCGGCCACCAAGGACGGCGACAACAAGGGCTATGAAGATGCCAAGACGCCCGGGGAGCTCGAAGACGGCGCCCTCGTCGCGGGTGGGGCCCTCGACCTCTTTTCCCGCGAAGCCATCGGTCTCTTCACCCAATATGCGGCGATCGGGATCATCTACGGCATGATCCCGGCGCTCAACTACCCCATCTTCAACGTGTACCTGCAACTCGAGGGGTACCAGACCGCGTCGTACTCGACGTTGGTGACGCTCGGTTGGTCGTTCAAAGTGTTTATGGGGATGTTCTCGGACTGCTTTCCGATCTTTGGGTACCGCCGCAAGTCGTGGATGTTGATCGGGTGGACAGCGACCATGATCTGTTTGTCCATCATGACGTTTTCGTCACTATTGTCCATGGCACGTTGCCGGCGTTGCCTTGGCAGACTGCACACCGTTTCAAGCAAACTGCGACATTTGCCACGAACCAGATCTGGAACCCGGGCCATCCCCTTTAAACCACCCGGACGACATTCATTGCTACTGCGGTGTTATTTTGAGTTCGACATGTGTCCTAGCTGAAGCGAATTCTTCCGAGCTGGTTCGTGCGCTTGATCCAATGTGTTCTCCGCGGATTGTGCCTAGCAGCGTTTTGAGCCGCCTCTCTGACGTATTCTGTGCGATGCACCATGGAGCAATACCTTGGTCCATCGGCACAACGAGCTATGGACGCATGTCACCGTCAACGCCTTGCGGCGGGATGTAAAGGTTAAATCGTTCTGTTCATACGAGAGGTGTTCGTGGCGATCCTGTTCACCCAAACGTGTATATTTGGCTTCCAAGCTGTTGGTGGTTTCCCGTCGCGTGCGATCGACAGCCACGACCTCCCACATGCCGTCGGCACGGGAAAGGATGGCCCGGGTTCCA